GGAATGGATTTACCAGCGACGCAAAACAATGCTGGTTGAGAGATTCAGTCAACGCAGTGTAATCTGGCTGCTGGTGCTATCCCTGGAACCATCTGAGATCATCTGGATTTTGAAGAGGCATCCCCCAATGGTGTGGTCCGAGGCTCACGTTGTGGTGCTGCCTTTGGGTCCGTCAGATTCCAAGCGACGTGTATCTACCGTAACATGAATTGTTGCTAACCCTCGATTGCCTCCCCTCACCAGTGACTCTGCAGGGGTTTCTGATTCTCGCTGCACTGGAATGCCCAGTCAGCAGTGGCCAACCAATGTGCGCTCCTATGTTTTCGGAAATAATGCAGGAAACACATAGCTCCAACATGATGTGATTGTTTTCTACGGCCAGATTTGTGTGACAAAATGTAAGTGGGCTGATTAGGGTTCCAGACTCTGCCCAAGGTTGCGGGACACTGGGCGGGATTATACGTGATTGGTCGAATTTTTAGGGTTGTCAGAATCATGTCCGGGTTTGGTGTTTGGCCGCCCAACACGTGTATCCTGCACACACGATATCCTGGAACCCGTGAGTTTCTGGAAACTTCAAGAGTCCCGGAAGGTTTGAAGCAATATTCACCTTGCAGTCGGTGTTTACACATACCACGTTGTCAACTAGTTGTTCCTCTTAAAAGAAGAAATCCGTAGCGTGGGGCTGTTCATTCGTCTTTGCAGTGTGGGGTGCCCTATCCGCGGCGCTTAGTAACATAACACATGTGGACAACTTTCATTCCGCAGCCTGCCCGGGATGTTTTTGTGCGACGGAGGGCAACCCTACATGTCATGGCAAGGTGATATTTCCGAACATACGGGGGCTCTGAGCTGCAGCCTGTCCGCGAACTCGATTCCCGCCAAGATAGGCCAAGCCAGCTCGATTCCAAATGGGGAAAACCTCTCGACTCGACCAGAATACGTTTTGGTGCTATCAATCGTTATCTCATGAAAGGCACTTGTTCCCTTCCTAACACTCAATCACTATTGAAACATGAAAGGCCAGGTATGCGACTGTGGTGATGTATTCTTCTGCTATCAGATCCTGCGAAGCCACCAATCCAATGGCGATAACTGCAAGCTGAAGCAGAAGAGAAAGTTGCGTTTAAAACAGTCGAGCCAGAAGCATAAAAAGATAGGAGATGCTTCGGGTTCCGTCCCCGTTTTGATGCCTGCACCGCTTCCGCGACCCAATCTGCTGTTACCATTGACGGAAACCGCTTACAGAGTTGTACCCGTATCAGAGAAACCTGGACAGTCTGCTGAGACGCCTTGCAAAAGTACCGTTGCAGTGGTACCCGACGACGATGAAGAGCCTGTTGATCTTAAGGCTGAAATATGCATTCTGGCACGGAAACACGGGCTTACGAATGGAGCAATAACTGACCTTATAGATCTGTTCAGGATCCCAGGCATTAGTGTTGAGCAGTTACAAGGCTGGACGACTTACAGGGACCTTGAGAAGTACAAAAGCAGCTTCGAGTTGGGACCGGAGCACTCTTGGCAGGTGGCCGAGATTGATGTGGATCATGAAGTGGGATTCCTCACCTTCAGATTTCGCGATATTGGTGTGGTGGGTCTCACGCAATTTAACGTGCTCTTTGTTTATGTTACTTCATGCATAACACGGCCCAAATTATTTCTGCTGCGCCCCTTACCAGTCACAGATCTTAGTCAACAACTCATTGAATGGCAACTCCACTACGCACCAATGAAACAATGCCCTTCCCATCTGCAGCTGGCGCAGGCGATGTTCAAGAAGATGTCCGCAGTACGCGGATTCATCATCGAGCCGAAGGAGTGGAAGGTGGAGGGTGAAAGACGCTACAGCACTCCCGGCAACACAAACTAATTCTAACGGCTTGGGTTAGTGAGCATCCAAAGCTTGTCCTTGGTCATCGATTCCTGTCGCTCATTGCTCTTTGTTCGTCGCCACCTTGATATTTGAACCCTCTGCACTTTCCTCTCATGAACTCTCAGATCCCCGCCATTCGTTCGCCGATTCCGCCCTTGGATCTCTGATCCCCGCCCTTTGATCCCTGATCCCCGCTCTTTGATCTCTGATCTCCGCCCTTTGATCCCTGGTCCCCTCTCTTTGATCTCTGATCCCCGCCCTTTGATCCCTGTTCCCCGCTCTTTGATCTCTGATCCCCGCCCTTTGATCCCTGATCCCCGCTCTTTGATCCTTGATCCCCGCCCTTTGATCCCTGATCCCCGCTCTTTGATCTCTGATCCCCGCCCTTTGATCCCTGATCCCTGCTCTTTGATCTCTGATCCCCGCCCTTTGATCCCTGATCCCTGCTCTTTGATCTCTGATCCCCGCCCTTTGATCCCTGATCCCCGCTCTCTGATCTCTGATCCCCGCCCTTTGATCCTTGATCCCCGCTCTTTGATCCCTGATCCCCGCTCTTTGATCCCGGATCCCCGCTCTTTGATCTCTGATCCCTTGCCCTCTGATCTCCCGCTCTTTTCTCGCTGAAATCCGCCACTTGCTCGCTGATCTCCGCCCTTTGCTCGGTGATATCCATCCCTCGCTCGCTGATCTCCATCCTTTGCTCTCCCGCCCTTTGCTATCTGACCTCCCGCTCTCTGCTCTCTGAAAATCCGCCGATGGCTCGCTGATCTCCGCCCTTTAGCTCTCTATTCTCCGCCCTTTGCTTGCTGATATTCATCCTTTGCTCTCAGATCTCCACCCGTTTCTGTCTGATCTCCCGCCCTTTGCTATCTGCAGTTCCCGCTCTTTGATCTCTGATCTCCCGCTCTTTATTCGCAGAAATCCACCATTTGCTCGCCGATCTCAGCCTTAACTCTCCGATATCCCGCCCTTTCCTCGCTAACCTCCGCCTGCAGCTCTCCAATCCCCGCCTCTCTGCGACCGTGATCTCGAGAGTGTTGCTATTTGTCGCGTGTGTTCTGCCCATCTCCCTTTGCTCACCTCCCTTTCACTGATTTTTTAACCCTAGACATTCACTTTGATTTCCGCCCTGTGCTCCCTTTCCTGTGCCGGTGCTCTTTCCCCTTCGCCCTTGCTCACCTAACCACACTCTATGCTCTCACGCTTAACAGGACCGCGTCCAAAAAGTCGGTGCTATCGTCTTGGCGATCATCCTCTATTCGGATCAAACGAACCTGTCTAACAATGGCAGACAATCGGCACACCCCTACGTCCTGTCATTTGGTAACACGCCGGAATGGGCGCGTTGGTTGGAAGGCGGCACTGAGCTGGTTGGGCTCGTCCCTAACATCCCCTCTGACCTGAAGCCAGAGAAGATTAGGGTGTTCCAGCTGGCGGCGGAATACATGCTACAGCCTCTGAAACGCCTTTCCAAGCTCCGCGGGTATGCTTCCCTTTAGACTTCTCTCCTAAAAACATGCGCAGATGTCATAGCTTTGTGCATACTACGTTTGTTGAGCCTCCTTGTCATGTATTGTTTGAGGGGTTATATGGAGTGCCTTTTGAATTTGCTGCCCCACTCAGGGTGCATTGTTAGTACCCACTCATCCGTTTCTCAATCGTAACGCCCTACCCCTTTGAACATTGCTTCCATGCTGTCAGCCCTGATTCCCTCACCCCAAAGCCACCAACATGGCATGGTTCCATGTTTGGTCGCGCAGCGGGGGCTTGAAGGTCGAGGACAGCAACGGGGTTGAGTACATGGCCATCCCGCTGCTGTATTCAGTCGTGAACGACCATCACGAGTCTAACAAGGTCTCGTGCACCATGTCATGTAGCTCCTTCCGACCTTGCTCCATCTGCATGGTAATGAGAGATAATCTTCGGGACGTGGATGACGAGATCGTTCCACGCACCGTGCGAGATCAGAAAGTGGTGTACAAAAAGATGGAGGGAGCGGAAACCAAGAAGGAATTGACCCGTCTGAAGAAGAAGTATTCTACACACTTCGTTAAGGTACCACTATTTATTGTTTGTGTACGTTTGTACGGTTCCGTGATCCCATAGTCCCACCCCCATTCTCATTCTCCCGCACTTGGTTTTAGATTAATTTCTTCCATCCCCACTGCTCCTTTGTGAATCCCGCGCTCACAACACCCATACATCCACCCTAAATCTGGTCGCCCCTCCCTCTTGTGCTGGAGGTGGACACGTCTTCGTGTTCCACCCTTGGACAGGCATGCTCCCACACCTCACATGATCCCGCCCTCGCTCCTCGAATACTCACACCCCCACACTTCTATCTTTGCTGTCCGTCCAGCTCTACTACCCTCCCCATACCCCGCCCCCAGGTAGTGTTGAAGGCTCACAATTCCACCTTTAGTCATTCCTGACCCCTTTTCCATCCTAATCCCTCAGGCCCCCCTTTTCCTGTTCTGCGTGCCTCCCCTTGCTGCTAGTCATTGCTGTGGGATTGGGAGTTCTCCAAAACCTCGTGGGGCAACACGTACCTCGCCCAAACACCCGACATCATGCACATCATCGAGGCAGGGCTCTGGCTTCATGCAATGAGGTGCCTCGTGAAGAAATTGAAACCCTCAGAATGAAAGATACTTCTCGAGTAAGTTTCCCTTACACCGCAGTGGGCCGAGGGACATCGGAGCAAGAGAGAGGAGCATCGAGGTGGAACCATAGGCTGAGAGAGGGAAAGAGGGGCAGCGAGAGGGAAAGCTGCAGGTAAGAGAGACTCCCAGTGGGGCAGAGAGTGGGGATGTGTGGCAGAGAGAGGGAAAGAGGGGCAGCGAGAGGGAAGGAGGACAGAGATAAGTGAATGCGTACAGAGAGCATGCAGGGGGGGCAGAGAGAGGTGCATGATTGGGAAAGAGAGGAGGAAGGAGGGGAATGGAGGGGGACAGTGGGGCAAAGAGAGAGGGATAGTGGGGCAGAGAGAGGTATAGTGGGGTGGAGAGAGGGGGAGTGGGACGAAGAGCGGGAGAGTGTGGCAAAGAGAGCGAATGAGGGTCAGATAGAGGGAATGAGGGAGTGGCAAAGACGTGGCCCTTTTTGAATCCCGGACGTGCAGACGCTACAAGTTGATCAAGGCAGAGACGGGCCGGAGGGGAATAGAGGGGGAAATTGGGGCAGAGAGAGCGATGGAGGGGTATCGTGGTGGAATGCAGGGCGCTGAGAGAAAGAAAGGTAAGCGGCAAAGGAGGAATGGCAGGTAGAGAGGGGGAAAGAGACGCAGCGAAGGAGGAATGCAGGGTAGAGAGGGAAAGATACGCAGAGAAGGAGGAATGTAGGGTAGAGAGATGGAAAGAGGCGCAGCGATGGAGGAATGCGTGGTGTAGAGAGTGAAGGAGGAATGCGGGGTGGAGAGAGGGGAAGCGGGGCAGAAAGAGGAAATTCGGGGCAGAGACAGGGAAGAAGGGGCAGAGAGATGGCCGGAGGGGCAGAGAGGGATGATTTCGAGGCAGAAAGAGAGAGGGCAGGGCGTGAAGAGGGAATGAGGGGCAGTGGGAGGTGCATGTGGGGTCGCGAGAGGGATGGAGGGGCAGCGAGAGGAAAGGAGGGGCAGCGAGAGGAAAGGCGGGGCAGCGAGAGGAAAGGAGGGGCATAAGGAGGGAAGGAGGGGCATAAAGAGGGAAGGAGGGGCATAAAGAGGGAAGGAGGGGCAGAGAGAGGAATGGAGGGGCAGAGAGAGGGATGGAGGGGCAGAGAGGGGGATGGTGGGGCAGAGAGAGGTGAGCGCGGGGCAAGAGGAATTGAATTCGGGGCATATAGAGAGGGAAGCAGACGTGAAGGATGAATTCAGGGTAATGAGAGGGAAAGGGACGGAGCAAAGGAGGAATGCGGGGTACAGAGGGGAAAGGGACAGAGAAAGGGAGGAATGCGAGGTAGATAGCAGGAAAGGAAACGCAGCGAAGGAGGAATGTGGGGTAGAGACAGTGAAGGTGGGGCAGAGAAAGGGACAGTAGGTAAGAGAGAGGGAATTCGGGGCTGATAGAGGGAAAGAGGGGTAGCAAAAGGGAAGGAGGGGCATAAAAAGGGAAGGAGGTGGGGGCGGGGCAGAGAGGAATTCAATTCGGGGCATATAGAGAGGGAAGCAGACGTGAAGGATGAATGCAGGGTAATGAGAGGGAAAGGGACGGAGCAAAGGAGGAATGCGGGGTACAGAGAGGGAAAGGGACAGAGAAAGGGAGGAATGCGAGGTAGATTGCAGGAAAGGAAACGCAGCGAAGGAGGAATGTGGGGTAGAGACAGTCAAGGTGGGGCAGAGAAAGGGACAGTAGGTAAGAGAGAGGGAATTCGGGGCTGATAGAGGGAAAGAGGGGCAGCGAAAGGGAAGGAGGGGCATAAAAAGGGAAGGAGGGGCATAAAGAGGGAAGGAGGGGCATAAAGAGGGAAGGAGGGGCATAAAGAGGGAAGGAGGGGCATAAAGAGGGAAGGAGGGGCATAAAGAGGGAAGGAGGGGCGAAAAGAGGGAAGGAGGGGCCTAAAAAGGGAAGGAGGGGCATAAAGAGGGAAGGAGGGGCATAAAGAGGGAAGGAGGGGCATAAAAAGGGAAGGAGGGGCATAAAAAGGGAAGGAGGGGCATAAAGAGGGAAGGAGGGGCATAAAGAGGGAAGGAGGGGCATAAAGAGGGAAGGAGGGGCATAAAGAGGGAAGGAGGGGCATAAAGAGGGAAGGAGGGGCATAAATAGGGAAGGAGGGGCATAAAGAGGGAAGGAGGGGCATAAAGATGGAAGGAGGGGCATAAAGAGGGAAGGAGGGGCATAAAGAGGGAAGGAGGGGCATAAAGAGGGAAGGAGGGGCATAAAGAGGGAAGGAGGGGCATAAAGAGGGGAGGGGCATAAAAAGGGAAGGAGGGGCATAAAAAGGGAAGGAGGGGCATAAAGAGGGAAGGAGGGGCATAAAAAGGGAAGGAGGGGCATAAAGAGGGAAGGAGGGGCATAAAAAGGGAAGGAGGGGCATAAAGAGGGAAGGAGGGTCAGAGGGAGGTGAACGCGGGGCATTGAGAAGTGAACTCGGGGCATAGGGAGGGCAGGAGGGGAATGAAGGGAGAACTGGGCAGAGAGAAAGGGGGATTAGGGCAGAGAGAGGGCAAGTGGGGCAGAGAGAGGGAACGAGGGGCGGAGAGAGGGCAAGTGGGGCAGAGAGAGGGAACGAGGGGCGGAGAGAGGTGAACATGGGGCAGAGAGAGGGAACGAGGGGCAGAGAGGGGAAAGGTGGGGCATAGAGTCTTGGAAAGTGGGGCAGATGATGGGAAAGCGAGGCAGGTAGGGAGAAAGCTGGGAGATGAGGGTACGATCTGATGTACCTAACTACTAAACCCCCCCCCTCCTCCCCCATTCCCCCCCCCCCCCCGCCCCCCTCCATCCCCCTCCCCGCCCCCCTCCTTCTCTCTCCCCCCCCCCCCCGGCCCACACCCCCAAAACCGATACCCTCATTGCATGCCGTACGTGCAGACGCTACAAGATTATCAAGGCAGTAACTCCTGCGTCTTTGCTGCGACTCCCATCCGCATGGGCGTACTTCACCACGACGGCCTGCTTCTCAGCGTCGGAGCACCGTGCCATGATGCAAGTGCTGCCCCTCATCATCGACCTCCCCAAGCGTGCCGATATTCGACATGCCATCGTGCTCATGTCGGACTGGTACAAGGAGTTTATCCGGGCTGAGTATCACACCGATGCCTCGCTTGAGCGCATGGAGGAGGTCTCCTGCGAGTAAGTCTAGTGTGAATGGCTGTGGGTGCCTTGCACAGAGGGAAAGAGGGACAAGGAGAGGGCTGGAGGGGCCGAGAGAGGGACTGAGGGGCCGTGTGTGGGAAATAGGGGCTGGAAAGGGGGAAGAAGGGCAAAGATAGGGAAAGAAGGGCAAAAAGAGGGAAAGAATGGCAAAGAGAGGGAAAGAGGGGCAGCGTGAGGGAAAGAGGGGCCGAGAGAGGGAACGAGGGGCCGAGAGAGGGAAAGGGGGGGCAGAGGGAGGGAAGGAGGGATGAGAGAGGGAACGAGGGACATAGAGAGAAGAAGAGTGGCACAGAGTGAGGGAATGGAGGGGCAATTAGAGAGAAGGGGATGAGAGAGGGGGGGGGAAAGGAGAAGAGAGGAGGGGGGAGGGGATGAGAGGAGGGGAGAGGGGATGAGATTGGGGTGGAGGGGATGAGAGAGAGTATGGGGCACGGTTTGGTGTAATTTGCAGAATTGTAGTTTATGTGCGTGCGCACGCTAACCCTTCCCCAAAACCCCAATGCCCCAACCCCGTATCTTCTAATCCGCAATAACACATCCCATCCAGGATGGTCGATGCGCTTGTTCTAGCGTTTGACAACCAGAAGTCAAAGTGGCTTCTTGTGAAAGTACATCTTGTATCGCACTTGCCACCGACAATCCGTGCACGCGGATTGCCACAGGAGTACTCGTCGAACCGGTACGAGCAGTCCCACAAGACAAGAGTAAAGCGCCCATCTCGTGGCACCAACTGGAAGGGTGTGGAAGATAGAATTGTGAAGAAGCATGTCGAGCAAGCTGTTGTTAGACAGTTGTCTCGGGCTGCCGGCGGTGACAAAACCTACGAGACAGCCATGAAGGAGGTGAGCCTGGATACAAACTAAAGCTGTTTTTACCCACCACTTGTCCCCCCCTGCTCCCCCCGCCTGCCACCCTCATAAACCCTGTTTTGCCCCTCCATGCTTCTCCCCTTGCGCTCCGCTGGTCCCTCCTCTTGTTACCCTAAACCCTTGACGTCCCGTTCTGCCCTCCCATGCTCCCCCATTGTCCAAGCAAGGATGTTTAACCCGTTGCCCCCCTTGACATCCCGTTCTGCCCCCACATGCTTCCCCACTTGTCCACCCACCAATTTTCTTTTTGTTGCCCCTCTTGACATCCCGTTCGGCCCCCACATGCTTCCCCATTTATTCACCCACCAACCCTTCTCCTGCTGCCCCCCTTGACACTCCGTTCTGCCCCCACATGCTCCCCCCACTTGTCCACCCATTAACCCTAAACCCTTGTGCTCAACTCCTTGCCTTCTCGTTCCTGCCCACCCCCTGCTTGGCACTTGTCTACCTAATCTCCCTCCAGTCGCTGCCCCCTTTGACCTCTCACACTGCCCCCCTATTCCCTCTCACTCGTCCCTAATCCCTGCGCCCTCCTCTTGCTGCCCCCATTGTACTCAAGTGATTCCTTGTTGTGCCGCCCCCCATGTAAACCATGCATCTATCACCCTCCTACCCAGGCTTGCACGCAAGGGCGCTGGGTGATGACTAAGACACACAAGAAGATGATCGTTGGGATCATCACCGATGATGTGTTCAGGAGCTATGTCCTTGTTCACGGAGAAGAAGCAATGGCCGCCCTGAAGAAGCGGCTGACCATGGAGGGAATCCGCGAACAAGTGCTCAATGTGAGAATAAATAAAATGTTTATTGCAATGCAGTTCTGCCACTATCAGTGCTGTTAAACACAGGCAGCCTCAGTCCAGTTGCAATGGGGAAACCCAGCCATGAGAACCTGTTGTATCAACGCACCTCTCAGCACTCCCTGAGAACCGTAACACCAGCCTTCTGTTGTTGTGCTGCGTTCTATGCTTGCCTACTCGCAGGTGCACACAGCCATGGCAATCCCACCGCACGACAGGATGGAGTGGACCGAGAAGGGGCAGTTTGTTAAAGCAAGCCCGGCTGAGAGGCACTTTTCTGATGTAGCCATAAATCCAGCTGGCAAAGGGGCCAACTGGTACGGCCGCTGCTTGATGCTGTTCCATTACGAGAAAATTGGGGTGGCAAAAAAGGCCGCCTACATCGAGTACTACACGGAGGATAGGCGTGTCTGCCGCTACACAGGCTGCAAGCGACTGTTGCCCACGAAGGGCGCCTACAACTATGCAGTTGTAGATGCAGATTGCTTTCTTAGCATCGTGCATGTTGTCCCGTGCTGCAAAGACCCTGATGTGAAGCTGCTCAATAGGTTCATCTGGTAATGCCTACTAGATTGCAACTATGTGTCTAAACCATAACATCATTTGATTATGAGAAACATATTCATGCCGCCTATGTATTGTTTCAACAAACAACATTTGACAAACCAACCATGGAAACATTGGTAAACCATTCCCAAATCATCAGCGTAACATTTCATTCGATAAAATTGCTTTACAAATGATATGTAAAGGATTCCAAAGTGATTGTCAAGCGTTTTGTAAACGCTGGATAAGAAATCAAATGGTCGAATGATTTACAAACACACACATTTTTGTGATGTCGACCAGAGGTGATCACTTGATTGCATGTGATCGGGGCTCACTGCGATGCTTGCGAGCAATTACACTGCTGCACTTACAGTGAAACGAATGTTTTCGCCAGGTGAAGCCTGGTCGTCAATCTCGCTAGAATGGGAAAGAAAATGCCGGGTAAATGTAACGCGCTTGCTTAGGAGGCGCTGACAATCTTCTCAAAAAAACATCTCTGATCGGGCGGCTCGGACGCTGCCATCACAAGCAACCCGATCAGATCCGACATCTAAAAAATGTCGACCTTTAGAGTGGCAATTTAAGCCATAATTGTCATCTATATGGCTGGTTTATGGCCCGAAACTGACGGGCTGTATACAGGCAGCTTCGTAGGCATTTAGGGCGCGTTCGTTCCGTCAATTTTGAAAAAGTTTATGTTTTGGGGGCGAATATTTTTTTTGAACTTAAGTCGAATGGAATTCGACTCTCCTTGTAGCGAAGTTCGAAAATTGCAGGAATAACATTGCAAAGATGTAATCACGCACGCAAGGTCGAACACCAAAATTCGAACCTTTAAGTTACCCGGTACATGCTCGCCAAGTCAACATACTGCTGTTTTTAGTTTTGCAGTGTACTCGTCAATTTCGCATGGTCTTCGTGTGTGCCGAAAACACACACGCTCGCTTCAACGTGTACAAGCACGTTCATCTATTCGACTCGAGTCAAGTTCGCTTTTCACGTTCGAACTTTTATAAGCCCTAAAATTCGCGATGTTCGTCAGATGTCATGAGTGAGATTTGCGAAAGCGGTAACCACACAAAGTTCAAACTGATTTTCGAACTTGGCAACAGAACGAACGCTCCCTTAGGGTCCGTAAATTCTCCGCCTGTGTATTAAGCGGAATGGGCGTTTACTCCAATATTAAGGTACTTCACACTGCCTATTTATGGCTGTATATAGCATGCGAATGTCTAGTAAGTGGCCCACTATTTGTCGATTGTTATAGTCATGCAATTAATGCCTGCTTATTGGACTTGCACAAATTGGTATAAATTGCCATGCCATTATTCAAGTGTGTCATAAACGGTATTACATTGCCCCAAACTATCTGTCATGGACAGGTTGAATGCCCTTATGCAAAGAGCCATAATTTATTCACATACCTATTCATTCACCACCCAGCCAGAAAACATTGCTAGAATTAATGGTTATATTTCTCAAATAACAGTTACATTAACTGGATGGCATACCTAGGGTCAAAACTCCATCTATCCTACAGAGCTACCTTAGTTCTATCACCCTACACAAGTCCTTCAAATGCAAACTCAAATCCTTCAATGAAGATTTTTACAGCTCCACTGCCCATAACACATCTTGCAGAAGCTTCATCATTGTAGACGGCTTCACCCGCTTCGAGTCGTGCTTTGATCCAGAAGATGACGACAAGAACCTTTGCAGCCACGGCGGCCCTGTTATTCTCATCAGAGGCACCAAAGGAGGGGTTGGCACGGCCATTGTGGTTTGCCATAGGCAATTCCACCTGCAGGAAACCACACAGGCATGAGAGCACATCATATATGTTAAAAAAAAAAAAAAAAACAAAAAAACCAACAGGAAAGAGAGAATGGACTTACCACATGGCAAATAGTTGCGACGGCAGGGATCTTGGCATTGGAGCTATTGCGTCGCTTGCCGCCAAGTCCCTTGCAGATGGCAAGCTTGAAAGAGCGGTTGGCAAAAGCGGCCAGATCCGTCACAGTGCCAATTCGAACCATATACAGCT